AACAAGTACGAAACAAGGATAAAGGGAGAGCTAGAATTGTTGCCCTATTGATCGCATTTGTCGACCAGCGTCACTTCGCTCCAGGGACTATTTAGGCTAGAAATTCCAGCCTTCATGGAACTTCCATGATGGAAGGGAAGGGTGGTCTAAGAAAGCCCCTTCCGACCATCATATCGTTGTCAATTTGCACGAACTGTGTGAATACATGAATTGCCTAACTGTCAGAAGTGCACGAAAGTGTTTTCACTCTGTCGCACTGCGGACCCGTCAGGACTGAGAATTTCGGCTAATTCAGTATCTTCCATTTTCAATGGGCCGCAAATCTCTCGACCCGTTAGATCCAAGGCCTTACTACGTCAAACGTCGTGACCTCACTAGCGGAAGAGTCCATTATCATTGCGCAGTCGAAGGTTGCAATCGAAAATGGACATGCGATAACGTCACCAGACTTCGACACCACTTGAGATGTGATCATGAAGCATTCGAGCTCCGTAATGTTCTCAATAAACGCCGAGCGAAGTCTCCTGCCTCTGGGAGAAGTTGCGGGACTACTGTAACCCCGATCGTATACGACAAAGTCAAGCCTACTGTTCAAGAGCCTACAGCTCCTGAAGACTTGCAGGGTGTAGATCAGCCGTTGTTGGAGAGTTTTCTCGTTCCGTCGCCAAGTTCTAAACTTCTCGGGTCATTCCATCTCCACCTGGTGAAAAGCCTCCTTGCTGCATGCTTGCCGAATCACGCCAGGGAGTGGCTCTATTCTGTTTCGCTCAAGGATGCGTTCAAGATGCTCAGAAGAGGGTATATTCCACTGGCGAAGGATGAGTTCATGGTTCTGAAAGAGGCGGCATTCCGAGAGTGCCTTGAATCCCACATAACGGAACTCGTATCCGCTGCGAAACGAACGGGACAGATGGCATTGATCTTGGATAGTTCGTATGTCACTAGTGGAGAGACCCTCTATTCCGTGTATGGCAGCTTCAAAGATGAGAGACATTTCAAAGTCCTTCCCTTCGGGTTCTATGTGCTAGCAGATTGTTCCGAGGATGCAGCAAAGGAAAAACTTGGGAACTGGATCAAGGGAGAGATCTGGCCTGAGCTGAGTTCAAGTGAGACGTCAAATAGTCTTGTATTCGATACCTACCTGGCCGTTGAATCCTAGTGAACCCATTTCGTGAGGATCTGTTATGGTATAATGCTTCCTCATGTTTCAGATTGTGTTCGACTAGAAGCGGTCATTCACTCTGGCGGTCCTATCTTGGAGGCTGCAGCCCTTGTGATCCGCCGATTGAACGTTCCCGAGAGTAATTCAGATCTGGATATGTTAACATATGAGTGTTTTCGACGGCAACACCGGAGTATACTATCGTTCCTCCTTGGAGAGGATGGTCCCGAGGATCTGCTGAGGTGGTCGAAACTTTGTCGGGCGATTGCTGCATATCAGAAAAATGAAAGCGTGCAAAACGTATTTCTCTCCACCGGCATGCAGGAGCCAATCCGTTTCAAAGATGGTGATACTATGAGTATCATCGAGTCGCTATGCGCACTCGCTGATTCTTGGATTGGTGTCCGGAGAGTTATGGCCGATATAGATGTCGTGTTGCTACCAGAGTGAGAATCCGACGACGATGACGAAATATTCATCTCTTACGCTGTTTTTTGTGCTCAGATTGCCCGAGGATATGAAGAAGTTGCACTCCGAGATCTCGACGATAATGAGCTCGCCGATCGGGAGAAAAGAAACTGAGAATCTGCAAGGCTTTCTAGATCCGCTACTGGAACTCGACCGGTGGTTCTCGGATTGTCAGCCTTTCTATCGAGCTTGTAGTCGAATGCTCAAGGCTTATGCTCCTCTCATGAAGCGTCTGAAGGAGGTAGCTCCTGATACGTACGATGTGGTGAAGGAGAGGTAGGCTTGGGTATCTGGCTGTTCGCTCTTGCCATGGCTAGAATTAAATCGCGATCCGTTTCATTTTTCAGGCTCAAGGGCGCCACAAAACAGCTGAGTTTTCTGGAAAGCTTCGATCCGGAAGGGTGGCAATCGATTCCTTCGGAGAAAGCTAAACGCGAGAAGCTGAATAAAGCCACACGAATGATTCGAAGACTCAAGCTCGGCGATCTCGAAGACTCTGCGAAGAGCATATTGAACTATTTCCGGAAATCGGGTGAGATTGAGATCCGTTCGGTTTATCACATGTGGACGAATCATTGCTGCATATTCAGGTCCTCATGCGATAGACACGTTAGCTACAACGAATTGTGATGCCGAGACTTACTGGAAGATGTTCAGTGAAAGCGGCTCCGCGATAGAAAAGCTCATTCACCGCACTCTAGTTGCACCTTGTTCATTGCACCCAATCGAAACCCGTGTTCATCCATTGCTGGATCGTGCGCAAAGGTAATATGGGGACCCAACGTATTTTTTGCAGCATATTAACGGTCCATTAATCAGCGAATCTTTGTCGTTAGAGGCCTGACTTGGGCGTCTTGTGTAGTTGCGGTCGGTCAGGTTCAAAATGACTTCTACTGAACTATTCGAATCGATCGTTGCGGGGTGGAATGATCGTCCAGTTCTGGCAGAGAATGTTCCAAGCCAAACAGATGCTCCCGATGTAGATCTGACCGACAGTCCCGAAGGTAGCCCGGAGGGAATACTGACATCAGTTCAAGGCTCTCTGCCGACGATCATTCATGGCATGTGTTCACCACATTTTTGAGAGGTGGTGAACTCATGCCAATGGGTCATTAGTTTTCACGCTGACAGGCGCACACCTTGAGATTGAGATTCTCGCACATCTGATTCGCATAAGGATGGTTCTTTGTAGGTAAAGGGAAAAACTTCTCTTCGGAGAACACGGTTGACGACTCGGATCTCGTGATTGTCTCGCTCGACGATAATTCGTCGCCCGTTGCGAGCTCCTCGTACTCGCCCATGGCCTGCGATGATATGCGGGCCGAGGACTCCGCTCATCCAAGCGAATTGTCTCCTTTCATATGTGAAGATTTTTTCACGTATTTTGGCGAAGAAGGATGCCGATGCTATTTGCTGCGCGACCCTCCAGTCTTCGATAAGCTTGACGATAAGCCCGACAGTATTCTCCTCGGATTGCCGGGTGACTGGGGCAGAGTGCTCAAGGTCGATCAGAAGAGCATCAGTTCTCGGGGTTCTTCCTTCTTCATCTACTTCGATGCTACCAATGAACAGTCTGATCTTAGATATTATGCCTCGGGATTGAGAGACCTGTACAAAGCTCGCTATATCGTATTTCCTTCTCTTTCTACCTACAGGGCCATACAACAGGCTGTCGATGACTGAAGATTAGTATCTCTCATTAATTTAATGTGACTCTGCAATTGTAATGTGTCATCGCCTCCTCATGCATCGAGTTTTGCTTTGAGTACACGAGTTTTGCTTTGAGTACACGAGTTTTGGGGCTGATCATTCACGTCTAGATCGCTGCACCGACAAAGGATTATGGGCCTAATGTTGGGTCTTCTAGGAAGACGAACTACAGAAGATGTTTCGATGTAATCACAACTCGTGATTCACGAGTAAGGAAAATTCTTCCTTATTCGTGATTGCATGAATAGATCTTCTGTCGAAACCCGCTGATAACTCCGAATCGAACCTCCGGTTTTACTTCATGAACTCGACCATGAATCGTTCTAGAGTACAAGTGCAATGAATTGTTATGACAGATCATGGTGTACGAGCAATAACCTCCAGCTTCAGAAACCTCGCGAACGCTCCGAGGAGCGAAGGTCTCATAATGGCTTCTCCGGAGCAAGTTTCCACCTCCCTAAGTCTGGGAAGCGAAGCTCATCCATCTTGGTCATGTGCTGAAGAGTCTTCACATCATATCTTCTGGATTGCGGCTCTGCAGCTCGAGCCCCTTCGTAGTATATGGTATATAATGGCTTGGCATTCTTCGCCCGTCGGCAACATAACCTAATATTGCCGAGTCTGCTCAGCTGATGTCTGCCCTGATTTCGATGTAGTACGGCTACACCATTCTTCCCACGATGCTGCAGAAATGCATGAGTTACTCGTCGAGAAAGAGTGGTACACGGTGGAACTTCGTTAGGAGAAGGCTCTGCTTCGATCAAGGATTGCGATGTGACTTCCGTGACAGCAGGCTGTGTCCTCATCGGTGGAGGTGCAGACCCGCTGCGCTGCGTCGCCGATGCCCTCCTGCTTGCCACGTTTGAGCCGGTCTCCTGAGATAGCAGGAAGTTAGAAAGCGAGGCTGAATCAGAAAACCCGAGAATGAATGCTCTCAGGGGCCGCCGACCCCGTTACCGATTCCCGACGGAAGCCTGGTAACTGTGCTGCCGAGACTATTTTACGAGTCCTATGCCGGAGGAAAGTGTCACATATCAGGGAGTCGGGGTCTCGATTGATTCTGAGTACCGGATCTCTGCACAATCCGAAGCTTCAAGATTCTCACTGGTATACAAAATTGGTACTACTGAAGCATCTTTCCAAGTCTTGAGTACCGCTGGGAGACGTTACGCACGTGAACATGAATTTCGTGACGCTACAGCACGGCCGGAAGTACTGCCAGTATTGCTGTGACGTGATGCATTTCCTGGCCATCTTCCCTGGCTCACCTGGATATGGAACTGGGAAAACACTCACCGAACCCGATCGGCAATCACCTTCGCCGAGGAAAAATTGCTTCATGAATCTCAGAGAGTCTTCGAGATTCACGAGTCCGTTTTCATTGCTGAAGGCTCGCACAGCTTCGATGGCCTTTTGCAAGGCCTCCTTGCGGTTCCTGTGCTGCGAGAGATGATCGAACATGAGAATCCACTCCCTTCCCTTCAAACACTTCTGCCGTCTAAAGAAAATGATCAATAAAAGTCCATCTCAGAAACCCCACCTTTCCTCAATCTTTTCTCTCGTTTCGGGAGAAAATGATGAGATCCGGGATAATGCAGAGTAGGTCGAAGATATGAGTCTCGTGGCATCGAACAATGTGGTGGAGCTCTTCTGCAGTTTATCGGACAATTCTCTCAGAATCCAGAGCTCGTCCACTAATTTTCCAACTTTTCGCTGCATTCCGGGCTTATTCACGAATGAGGAGACCTCACGACACATATCTACGATGGCAATGTTGACGCTGAAAATAAAAAATCAGCAGAATCATCCTTCATAGTAACCTACTTTATTCCACGATCTGGGAGCCCTTCGATGGTTTCTATCAACTGTCGCAGCTTTTCCCAATTTTGACAAAGACTACGGGCCGCAGTAATCGCCGAGGCCCACCGGACCTCAGAAATCTCCAAGATCTCGAGGCCCTGGATGGGCACGGATCGATAAATTTTACCCACGAATTGTATCTTGATGAATCTTCTGGCGGTCCTAGCCATATCGGATATCCACTCGAACTGGCCACCACTATGCATCAGAGACTTGCACAGCAAAGCATGCTGGTGGACATGGCATCCGATTTGAAGGGGGTGA